CAATGTTTCATCATTAAAACATTGTAAAACTCTGCAGACAAGGAAAATATTTTGAATAACCCTCGTTCTTATGTATAAATTCTCATTTTGAACCTTTCTATCCTTTTTAAGTTTTAACTAGTACTCTAGTTATAAGATAAAGAGACTAGAACTACAAACTTTATATCTTTCATAAATGAATATCTATTCTTAAATCCATCATGCATAGTTTTCCTATTATACTCTCAAGGTCCACCCAATAATAAGTGACCAGCATACATAGGGACTACATTATACAACATTTCATTATAGTACTTCATAATGAAAAAAGATATGAGAAATTTTTTAAAAATCTTTATCTTGTCACAAGTATCCAACCATTATAATTTATATTAGTAACATATAGGTTCAATTTATCAACCAAACCTATATTAGTTACACTAGTATAATTATCATTATCAATTATTGTGCTACATACTGCTTATACATATGACATCTAATATGAAAGATATTTTCTCTTTGCTCTTTCCAACCTCCTACTTTAACATGCATATGAAAAAACTCGTTTTTTTGGGCATTATGAAACAATATGACCAAAAATAAAAAAACAAAAGCATTTAATGTCACGGTTACAAAAAAAGTGAGTTTCAACCTTACCTCGATTATTAATAAAGTTGTCTTTTTTATTTTTAGAAGTCTCTAAATGCCCTCTAATATTATGTTAGACTTGGGCAGCCCTTGCTTTCCTCAAATTAAGCCGCTAAGAAGAAAAAGAAGTGATCAAATTGAATGGTTATCGTGGGCCCTTTTCCTCCTAAATTGTTTTTCCATTTTGGTGCCCATATGCACTATGTCCTCGCACTCTACATAATATTGCAACTCTATAATATTCAAAATCTTACAATTCAGCTCATTTAAAAACCTAGTTATAATGGTCTCCCTATTCTCTAATTTATTAGCTCAGAATATCATGATCTTCATCTTCTTATGATGCTCATCAACACTTCTAGTACACTGACTCAAACCCTGTATTTTTTTATATAATAATATATACTAGTGATTTGACACAAAATGTTTTTCTCATCAAAGCCTCCATCAATATCATCCAATGTAGCAATATGCTTCTCCTTATTTCACCTTTAAAAAGTCATAATCTGATCCTATTTATAACTATATAATCAACAAACTCAATTGCCATAAGTTTCACCTTCTTCTGCTCATAATAATTATGATAATTACCAGTTTAATCTATTTTTTCTCTCATTTCAAATAACCCTTGAAGTTGTTTTTATCTTGGAAACTAGGAATTTCATTTTAATAAAATCAATATCACCATGATAACTATAGTTTTGGAAATCCCCCTTATAACTGAGCCCATCATCCATTTAATTTCTAGACTGTTGACAACCTTTCTTATGTTATATAGCCTCATCCTTAAAGTCATCATCCCTAACACCGTCATCATTATTCTCATCATCAAAGTCATCTAAGTTATGATTTACATGTCATTCAAGTTTTTTATTAAAGTTACATCTTCGATCAACCTCATTTCTTCTTTCATCATTCTCATTACCATGCCTTTTCACCCTATCAGACCTCTTATGTATATTACCAATCACCATGTTAAACCTCCCTAACATTTACAATAGCCATTTAATATAAAGTTTAAGTTTGTTCATTTTTATAGGTGGTAGTATTTTGCTTTTTTTTTAGCCATCACGAATCTGTAAAATTCATTAGTGGTTAAAAAAATCGTGTTTCCTCACTCATTATCTCACGTGGTTATGCTCGTCTCATGTTTCATATAAATCCTTCAATTACAAGTAGTTTTAATGTTGAAAAAGTCTATATTAACGGTGTTTTGCATATATAATGTCAAGATGAAATAAAGATGATTGTGCATCAAAAGTATCATTAAGTCTCTTATTTTATATATGTATTTATTTTTTTATTTGGATTTTTATAATAATTGATGTGCTTTTTAGTAATGAAGTTTCTTTTAATGTTTTGCTAAGTTTTTAGAGCTTAAATGAATTATGCCAAAAAATTAAATGTCGGAATTCAGAACACAGGATTGAAGAAAAATTTAGTTAAAGTTTGAAGCAAATCTTGGTTCAAATAAGTGCTTCAAATTTTTTCCAAAAAATAAATTTTATTCCAATCCTAGAAAAGATTATCATATGATTTATTTTAAGCCCAAACTTATCTTACATTATGTGTAAACTTCAACCATCAAACACTTAAGATTTCAATATCAATATTAGCCCAAATAATAGCTACATTTTTATCCTTATAAGATACTTAAATTCAACCCCAAATTAGCCCCAAATCAGGTCAAGCACAATCCATGGTCTTATATGGCCACGCAACAAATAATAATTTATTTATTTTGGGTAAGCAAGCACATGGATAGAAAGCTGAAGGGGATATTGTTACATTATTTTGGGTCAAAAAGAAAAAAGAGATAACTCATAAATGAGGAAGAAAAATATGCACTAAAGTGGTTGCAAAGCTAGTTTGATTTGATTTTTTAGAATATTTTTCAGTGCTTTACCCATAACTTTTGATTCAGGTGACTAAATGAGTTGTTCTGTAATGATCTGAAAAGGTGATAGAATTTCCTATAAATATATCTCAATAGACATCTCAAAAAAGGCTTTTAAGAGGGTCTAAATTGCTGTTTAAAGTTAGCATCATATTTATGTTTGAATTTATACTAAAATTATGTTGTGTTCTTCTTTGTAGATTTTTTCAACCAAGTTATTGTTATTTTAATTACTCTTGATTTTTTTTGTGTTACCTAGTTTAATTTCTAGATTTAGCTATTTGTGGACATGACCTCGATCTTACCAAGTTAATTGTTATATCGCACACTCATTCACTTGTGAGTTAAAACAAGTTGATTATAAAAAGTGGTCGAGCAAAAGATATGACAAGAATAAAGTTTACAATAAGAAAAATATTGATTTAGATCTAAATTGCAATTTGACCTTCTAGATTAGATCTGACTAAAAGAAAATAGAGGTATTTTTGGCATGGTAAGCAACTCAAAATAATTGAATACTCTAATTTTTAATGTTAATAACCTAAATTTACAAGGTCTTTCAATTGATGAATATAATAGACCCTTTCAAATCCAAATTTGGACCCTAAAATAAATGTTATCCAAATAATCTAAAATTTTATATTTAGTGTGATTTCACCCAAAATAACCTGAATATCAATTCTGAGTTAATTCTAATGTGTTTTGGTACGTGGATGTGAAACAGACGCGAATTAACTCCTTTTTACTTGAAATAATGTTTTCTAATGTGTAACTATTTTTTAAATAAGAAGAAACACAATTAGCATAAATAAGTAAAGAAAAACATAAAGAAAAATAAAATTGACAAAAACTAATTTAAGCAATTCTAACCAAAACAAATAATAATGAAGAAGAATGAATAAACACAACAAGAAATAGATAATGACAAAAAAAAATATAACCTGATTTTGAAGCCTAGCTCTTATACCAATTTATATAAACCTCATAATTATGTGATCACGCAATCCATAATAAAGAAGGTAACTTCCTTAATAAAGCTGAGTAATTAGGTTTGGCTGAACTTTGACTTAAAGTTTGGAAAGACATATCCTTTTTTTTTGTGTTGGTGCGACACATGTTCATAAAGGAGGTGTGGTTAGCCTCTGATGATTATTTTTTCTTTATCCTTTTCTATTCTCTTATAACCTAGAAATTTGTGATGGCCTTTTCAAAAATCAGATAAAATCCTTCAGTTTCTATTTTTATCAATTTTGATTATTTTTTATTTTGTTTTTAATGCCTTTTGAAGTTTACTCTCTTTCTCTCTCTCTTTTAATTTTATCCATAGGCATTTTTTTTTATCTACTTTGGTTCTCTTTCTTTTGATTTTTCTTCTTTGTGTTTTACCCTTTTTGATTATTTTTTTCAATTTCATCCTTCATCATTTTATTTTTTTATTTTTATATTTAATTTTGTTCCTCATTCTTTTTATTGTTATTTTATTATCATTTTATTGATTTTTTTCCAATCATGTCCCTAAACATTTTATTTATTTATTTTTATTGAATCTTGGTCCTCATTCTTTTAATTGCTCTTTTTATCCTTTTTTTATTTTTTTTCAATTTAGTACCTAAATATTTTATTTTATTTTATTTATTTATTATCCAATTCTAGTCTTCATTATTTTAATTTATTTTTTATTATCCTTTTTATTTTTTTCAAATTTGTCCTTTAACTTTTTATTTCATTTATTTTTTATACAATTTTGATCTTTATTCTTTTAATTGCTTTTTTTTTTATCCTTTTTCTTATTTTTAGGGTTATATTGGGTTAGTCAAGTTAACTTGGACTGACTCGAGTTTTTTTCAGTGTTTTTTTTATTTATTTAACCCTAATTATTTTTCGAGATTTTTTTTAAATAATTTTTTAATCCCAATCTCATGTCACAGGTGATAAGTTATTAGAGTGAGCTCGCATTAACTCTTTTTTTGTTTGATTTTTATTTTTAAATTTTATTATTTAAGGTCAGCTTATTTGACCTTAAACTTAGTTTTTTTTCCTTTTCATTTTATAAGGTATCGTAATTTTATATACCATATGTTCGTTAAATTAATACAGGTTAACTCAAGTTATCATCATCATTTTATTTCAAAGTTAATAACTATTTTAAAATAGATTTTATTTTTATAAAAATCCATAATCAACCTCCGAAGAGTGATAAACATATAAAAATATTTGGTGTATATTTTCCAGCTAGTGAAGAATAGTAAGAGAAGACAATAAAAAATGATAAAATTTATTACTTTCGATAGTTCATGGAATTTATTCTCTTTACAACTTGATTTTTTATCAAATCATGGAATTTTTTTTAATTTTTAATTTAATATAAGGTGAATCATGATTAACAAATTAAATTTATAAATAATTGAACAGAAATGGCTATATCACCATTATTATTAGCATGTCTACGAGAAATACAATGTTTACACACACACACGAAACAGAAGCCATACATGAAGAAGAAAGATGAGGCAAGACAAGCATGGAATTGGGATTCAGAAGCATTATAAGGGCTAGTTCTTGGCTAGTCTCTTCATGGACCAGTCACATAGGCCAGCATCTTATCATAGGCAGGGATGTTTTCTTTAACCACAGGAAGTTCGACGAAATTCTTAGCCCAGGCGTGCAACCGAGGCAAAGTGCTCGGTTCCAACACTTTCACACCTTTTGCATCTTCCAAGGCTGCAAACCAATAACCCAACAATCCATATGAGATGTCTACGAGATTTATACTCTCACCACCAAAAAACTTCTTATCTCCAAGACCTTGCTCCTCCAAGATTTTCAGCCACTCCGCCATTTCTTTCGCTGCCTTCTCGAGCTCTTCTCCGCTACCGTGGTAAAATGCACTAAAGGCAGCACCCTAAATAACCGAAGAGTTTGATTATTTCATGAATATAATAAAACAAAAATAAAAATTTAGAAGTTTTCAAGAAAGCTTGTGAAGAGAAATCAATCCAATTTAATCACCACTAACTAAAATAATGATTTGGTTTTGGCTTTCGACTTGATAACAAATATATGTTTTATATGTAACCAGTAATTCTTTCACCCAATTACTGGGACTAAATTGAAATCTTGGAATCAGTTTCTCTTTCCTTAGGACTGCAGCCTACCAACTAGCAGATAAAACTAAAAGATTTCATGAACCAGAAACAGTTGAATGAAAAATAGATGATGAGACCTGTAACTAGATCGATACCCTCACCTTGATAACTCCATACTGGATCCAGAACCGAGCCATGGCTCTCTCATAAGGGTCTTTGGGGAGCAATGGATTTTCAGGCCATGTTTCTTCGATGTATTCAAGGATAACAAGAGACTCCGCAATTGGTTTGCCACCATGAACAAGAACTGGGATCTTCTTGTAAATTGGGTTGTACTTCAAGAGCGATTCACTCTTGTTAGAAAGGTCTTCTTCTATGTATTCATACTCCACACCTTTTAATTTCAGAGCCCATATGATTCTGTGACTAAAAGGGCTCGGCCAAAAACCATATAGCTTCACTTCTGCCATTGTTTTGATGAGGTCAGGATGCAAGGCCCGCTGCTATGGAAACCCATTTTATAGTTACTTTTCGCTTGGGCATCAAGTTTCAGCTGGAAAATTCGGACTCAAAACATTTTTTTTACTAATGTTGACTTGACTCGCTGCACAATTTTATACACTAATTTACTATAAAGAAACAAGAAAGAGCTCACCCGCTACAAAGCATGGATCAGAATTCATGAAAACAAATTACAACTGCCGTTGCCTAAAAATAGCAGACAAATCATGACTATCAGAGATATCGGGATAACATCCCAGATTTGTACAATCTATAACGAATATCTTGATAAATACTCGTCACCAAATCATGACTGCTACACTCCCTGTCTGGTGTAGTATAGGTAACAAAAACAAATCTTGATCGATTACAATGGACGAATCCAAGTAGGTTTTTGATTTGAACTTGTTTTCAAAATTGAAAACATTATGGGTCTTTGGTCTTCAGTTATTTGTTCAGGATCGAATTGTTGCTTTCATAATATAACCCTGCGAGGGAGACAGGCTCAGTGGATCAGGGCAGAAAGCATATACTGCATACCCATGCAGGAAATTAAAATGACCGCAACAACAGAGTTTTGATAAAGAATGCTATATCATTGAATTCAATTCACGCCACTTGTTTTTTTTTTTACGGTTTATTTTCTGTGCAAGAAACATTGATTATTATATGTTTGGTAGTAAGTTTTCATTTATTTTTTATTAAAATTTATATATTTTTATTTTAAATTAATTTGTTTAATATTTTTGCTATCAAAAATAAATTTAAAAATATTTTTGTAATATTCTTTTTTATAAAAAATATTTTAAATAACAATATCTATCCTGAATTTTGACTTTGACCGTACACATGCATGTCTTGTCTTCGGATTAGGTGGTGGACATGGAGTTGTGGACACATCACTTATGAATCCATGTGATTTTCGTAGAATTTCGATGCCCTGCTCCAAGATCTTACATCATTATCAATATATTAATTATTTAAAAAATTGGAAAAGCAGAGGGATGAACTATTCCTTCATTGACTGCCCCTTTTCTTTTGTTAACCTTCTGCTAAGCATCCATTGACTGTTGAAACAATCTTAATTTACCAAAATGAACCATTGATTTAGAAACATAATAAGGTAGCTGTCTTTAATTTCTAGTGGTGATGGTAGCAAGCTTGAGGTAATAATATCAGTTACACCTTGATGAGTTTAATTTACTCTTTGTCCCGGCAAAGAAAAATTTTATTCAAGAAAAATTGAATTTCATTAATATTTAAAGGCTTCAAATTTCCAGAAAAACAAAATATAATATAGTTCTAGGATAATAACCATAATGGTTCAATATGAGATTGCAAACCAATTGGTCTCAACTAAAACTTGTTTAAGCACAAGTGTAATATTTAAAACAAGCCCAAAAATTGATTTTAACGCTAAAACAAACCCAACATAAATAAAGCCCTAACCTGAAATATAATTATCATGTATATTAATTAAAAAAACCTTAAAAAAATATTCAAAATAATACAAGTTATCAAAACATCTCCAAAATCATATCTTCTTGCATTAGATTCTTTGTAGTCAAATCTAAAACTTGTAGAAGAAAGAGTGTTTTTTTGTTTGTCCATTAATCCTTTTTCTTTACTTGAATGACGTTGTCCTAGATGTTGATGTTTCTTGTCTTATTTAGTTGAAAGTATGCTCTAAAAAATAGGAAGGAATCTCTTATTTTGAATAAGAAAATCTTACAATAGAAAGGAAAAAAACAAAAAGAAAAATTCTTTGATTCTAGTCTTCCCTTGTACTCTATGTTAAGGAAGGATTCCTTATATTTAAAGGACAAATATATAATGGGAAATAATTCTCATATGTTGTCACCTTTCTCTTTCTGTGCTAGGTATGAAATCCTTGCCCAACATGAAAAAACAATATTTCCTCTTCAAATTAGCCCTTGTCATTTCTTTGTTTCTCATTTTAGCATTAGAAAACTTCCTCTCACAAATAACTAAGTAACCATCATCCATGCATCATAATTTAGCTAGGATATTTACTAGATCATTGTAAAAGATCTTAACACTATAATTAATCCAAGCCAACTTTGAATTTTATGTGGTCCAGAGTTATACACATTATCATGACCTAAATTAGACCCGATACAAACTATTAACAAGCTTACTTTGCTGCCCAAATAAGACCCATACATAAGTTGCTCAAAACTTGTCAAATGCAATATTAATGACCTTATATCGAACCCCTCATCATACATAATCTAAGGTTAATCGAACTCACCCCATGCTAAAATCCTCATACAGCCAAATGGTTTCCAAACTAAAAACCTTTCATGGCTAATTGCATTCCAACCAAAAAACCAAGGAAAAAAATAATGTTGGCTAAATGGCCTCCAATTTGAACTTAAACATATAATTGAATGTTCAACATGAAAAATTCAAAACTGAATTGTATCATCATTCCCTTATTTAGAAGGATTCAACCTCAAATCCAAAACATGAAAATCATATATTAGAGGCACATCATCATTATAAGATCGAAACAATGTTTCATCATCAAAACATTGTAAAACTCTGCAGACAAGAAAAATGTTTTGAATAACCCTCGTTCTCGTGTATAAATTCTCATTTTGAACTTTTCTATCATTTTTAAGTTTTAACTAATGAGATTATAAGATAAAAAAATTAGAACTACAAATTTTTTATATCTTTCATAAATGAATATCTATTCTTAAATCCATCATGCATAGTTTTTCTATTATACTCTCAAGGTCCACCCAATAATAAGTGACCAGCATGCATAGGGACTACATCATATAACATTTCATTATAGTACTTTCCAATGAAAAAAGATACAAGGAATTTTTTAAACATCTTTATCTTGTCACAATTATCCAACCATTACAATTTATAAAAAATATGATGTTTAGTAGCATACAGGTTCAATTTATCAACCAAACCGATATTAGTTACACTAGTACAACTATCATTATCAATTATTGTGCTACATACTATCTATACACATGACATCTAATATGGAAGATGTTTTCTCTTTACTTTTTCCAACCTTCTACTTTAACATGCATATGAAAAAACTCACTTGTTTGGGTATTATGAAACAATATGACTAAAAATCAAAAAACAAAAGCATTTAATGTCACGGTTACAAGAAATGTGAGTCTCAACCTTACCTCGATTATCGGCAGAGTTGTCTTTCTTCTTTTTAGAAGTCTTTAAATGCCCTTTAATATTATATTAGACTTGGACAACCCTTGTTTTCCTCAAATTAGGCCGCCTAGAAGAAGAAGAAGTGATCAAATTGAATGGTTATCGTGGGCCCTTTTCCTCCTAAATTGTCTTTCCATTTTGGTGGCCATATGCACTATGTCCTCTCACTGTACATAATGCTGTAGCTCTATAATATTCAAAATCTTGCAATTCAGCTCATTTAAAAATCTAGTCATAATGGTCTCCCTATTCTCTAATCTATTAACTCGGAATATCATGATCTTCATCTTCTTATAATGCTCATCAACACTTCTAGTATGCTAACTCGAACCCTGTAATTTTTTAAACAACTATATATAGTAGTGATTTGACACAAAATATTTTCTCATCAAAGCCTCCATCAATATCATCCAATATAGCAACAGATCTCTCCCCATTTCACCTTTGAAAAGACATAACCTGATCCTATTTATAACTATGTAATCAACAAACTCATTTGTCATAAGTTTCACCTTCTTCTGCTCATAATAATTATGATAATTACCAGTTTAATCTACTTTTTCTCTCATTCCAAATAACCCTCGAAGTTGTTTTTTTCTTGGAAACTAGGAATTTTCATTTTAATAAAATCAATATCACCATGATAACTATAGTTTTGGAAATCCCCTTTATAGCTAAGCCCATCATCCATTTAATTTCTAGACTGCCGAAAACCTTTCTTACGTTATATAGCCTCATCCTCGAAGTCATCATCCTTAACACCGTCATCATTATCCTCATCATCAAAGTCATCTAAGTTATGATTTACATATCATTCTGGTCTTCTATTAAAGTTACATCTTTGATCAACCTCATTTCTTCTTTCATCATTCTCATTACCATGCCTCTTCACCCTATCAAACCTCTTATGTATATTACCAATCACCATGTTAAACCTCCCTAGCATTTATGATAGTAATTTAATATAAAGTTTAAGTTTGTTCATTTTTATAGGTGGTAGTATTTCATCTTTTTTTTTAGCCATCATGAATCTGTAAAATTCATTAGTGGTAAAAAAAATCGTGTTTCCTCACTCATTCTCTCACGTGGTTACACTCGTCTCGTGTTTCACGTAAAACTTTCAATTACATGTAGTTTTAATGTTGAAAAAGTCTATATTAATGGTGTTTTGCATAGATAATGTCAAGACGAAATAAAAATGATTGTGCATCAAAAGTATCATTAAGTCTCTTATTTTATATATGTATTTATTATTTTTATTTAGGTTTTTATAATAATTGATGTGCTTTTTAGTAATGAAGTTTCTTTTAATGTTTTGCTAGGTTTTTGGAGCTTAAACGAATTATGCCAGAAAATTTAATGTTGGAATTTAGAACAAAGAATTGAAGAAAAATTTAGCTGAAGTTTGAAGCAAATCTTGGTTCAAATAAGTGCTCCAAATTTTCCCTAAAAAATCAATTTTATTCCAATCCTAGAAAAGATTATCATATGATCTATTTCAAACCTAAACTTACCTTATATTATGTGCAAACTTTAACCATCAAATACTCAAGATTTCAATATCAATATTAGCCCAAATAATAGGTACATTTGTATCCTTATACGATGTTTAAATTCAACCCCAAATCAGTTTTCAAATCAGCCCAAACATAATCCATAATCTTACATGGCCACACAACCAATAACAATTTATTTATTTTGGGTAATTCATTGATCCAAGAAGATAAGCACATGGATGGAAAACTGGAGGGGACATTGTTACATTATTTTAGGTAAAAGAAAAAGAAAAAGACAGCTCATAAATGATGAAGAAAAACATGCACTAAAGTGGTTGCAAAGCTAGTCTGATTTGATTTTTCATAACACTTTTCAGTGTTTTGTCCATAACTTTTGACTCAGGTGTCCAAATAAGTTGTTCTTTAATGATCTGGAAAGGTGACGGAATTTCCTATAAATATGTCTTAATAAAAATCTCAAAAAAGGCTTCTAAAGAGTCTAAATTGTTGTTCAAAGTTAGCATCATATTTGTGTTTGAATTTATACTGAAATTATATTGTGTTCTTCTTTGTAGATTTCAGTTCTTTAGTTTGTAAAACTTATTATTTCAGTTTGATTCAAGTGATTTCATGTTTATTAAAGTGTTCTTAGATATAATTATGGTTGAGTAATCTCTTTCTTGGATCCAAATTAAGGATGATGGTGCTTGGATCCAAATCAAGGATAATGGTGATTGAGGTGAGTTCTTTAGGATATGAATGAATCTTAATGTTTATCTTCTTATTTTCTTCATGAATGATTTATTATTGTAAAGAAATTTTAGAAATCATTTAGGTATTGTTTTAATCTTGAATTTTTATGCACAAACTTTAGTTTTGGTATAGAGATTGCTTGATTCAATGTCTTACTTAATATGAAAGTACTTGTTCATTCTTAAGCAATAATCAATCTTCATCTTTTTAAATTTCATTGTAATATCTTCTGATCTAATATCACCATCGTTGATATTAGATTGAGTTATCTTACATATCCTGAAAGAATCGCTAATATATCACAATTAAAATTGATTTGGACCAAAGCTTATCTTTTCTTGTCATTTAAAATCTATTTACATGTTTGTATATTTGAAACAAATTCATCAATTATTTTCAACCAAATTATTTTTAATTTAATTTCTCTAGAGTTTTTTTGTGTTACCTAGCTTAATTTCCAGATTTAGCTCTCTATAGATATGACATCGATCTTACCGAGTTAATTGCTATATCGCACACTTGTTCACTTGCGAGTTAAAATAAGCCGATTATAAAAAGCGATTAAGCAAAAGATATGACAAGAATAAAGTTTACTACAAGAAAAATATTGATTTAGATCTAAATTGCAATTTGACCTTCTAGATTAGATCTGACTAAAAGAAAATAGAGATATTTTTGGCATAGTAACCAACTCAAAATAATTGAATACTCTAATTTTTAATGTTAATAACCTAAATTTACAAGGTCTTTCAATTGATGAATATAATAGACCCTTTCAAATCCAAATTTGGACCCTAAAATAAATGTTATCCAAATGATCTAAAATTTTATATTTAGTGTGATTTCACCCAAAATAACCTGAATATCAATTCTGAGTTAATTCTAATGTGTTTTGGTACGTGGATGTGAAACAGACGCGAATTAACTCCTTTTTACTTGAAATAATGTTTTCTAATGTGTAACTATTTTTTTTACTAAAAAGAAACACAATTAGCATAGATAAACAAAGAAAAACATAAAGGAAAAGAAAATTGATAAAAACTAATTTAAGCAATTCTAACCGAAACAAATAATAATGAAAAAGAATGAACAAACACAACAAAAAATATATAACTTGATTTTGAAGCCTAGCTCTGATACCAACTTATAGAAACCTCATAATCACGTGATCACACAATCCATAATAAAGACGGTAACTTCCTTAATAAAGCTGAGTAATTAGGTTTGGCTAAACTTTGACTTAAAGTTTGGAACGACATGTCATTCTTTTTATGTTGGTGCGACACGTGTTCATAAAGGAGGTGTGGTTAGCCTCTCATGATTATTTTTTCTTTTTCCTTTTCTATTATCTCATAACCTAGAAATTTGTGTTGGCCTTTCCAAAAAACTAGATAAAATCCTTTAATTTCTATTTTTATCAATTTTGGTTCTCATTCTTTTGATTACCTTTTGTTTTGCTTTTAATGCCTTTTGAAGTTTACTCTCTCTCTTTTTTTTTAATTTTATCCATAGATATTTTTTTTTATCTGGTTTGGTTCTCCTTCTTTTGATTTTTCTTCTTTGTGTTTTACCCTTTTTTATTATTTTTTTTTAATTTCATCCTTCATCATTTTATTTTTTATTTTTATATCTAATTTTGTTCCTCATTCTTTTTATTCTTATTTTCTTATCATTTTATTGATTTTTTCCCAATCATGTCCCTAAACATTTTATTTAATTTGTTTTTTTATTGAATCTTTGTCCCCATTCTTTTAATTGCTCTTTTTATCCTTTTTTAATTTATTTTTTTAATTTAGTCCCTAAATATTTTATTTTATTTATTTATTATCCAATTCTAGTCTTCATTATTTTAATTTCCTTTTTATTATCCTTTTTATCTTTTTTCAAATTTGCTGCTCAACTTTTTATTTAATTTATTTTTTATTCAATTTTAGTCCTTATTCTTTTAATTGCTCTTTTTTATCCTTTTTTATATATTTTTAGGGTTATCTTGGGTTAGTCCAGTTAACTCAGAGTGACTCGAGTTTTTTTCAGTGTTTTTTATTTATTTAACCCTAATTCATTTTTGAGGTTTTTTTTAAATAATTTTTCAATTCTAATCTCATGTCGTAGCTAATAAGTTATTAGAGTGAGCTCGCGTTAACTTTTTTTTTGTTTGATTTTTCTTTTTAATTTTTTTTTTCAATTTCATCATTTGAGGTCAACTTGTTGGACCTTAAGTTTAGTTTTTTTTCGCTTTTCATTCTACAGGGTATCTTAATCTCATATACCATGTGTTTGTTAAATTAATAAAAGTTAACTCAAGTTATCATCATCATTTTATTTCAAAGTTAATAACTATTTCAAAATGAATTTTATTTTTATGGAAATCCATAATCAACCTACCAAGAGTGATAAAAATATAAAAATATTTGGTGCATATTTTCCATCGAAGAAGAGCAAGAGAATGCAATAAAAAATGATAAAATTTATCACTTTAGATAGTTCTGGAATTTATTTTCTCTGCAACTTGATTTTTTATCGAATCAATAAATTTAGTTTTTTTTTTAATTTTTAATTTAATATAAGGAGAATCATGATTAACAAATTAAATTTATAAATAATTGAACAGAAATAGCTACATCACCATTATTATTAGCATGTCAACGAGAAATACAAGGTTTACACACACACACACGAAACAGAAACCATACATGAAGAAGAAAGATGAGGCAAGACAAGCATGGAATTGGGATTCAGAAGCATTATAAAGGCTAGTTCTTTGCTAGTCTCTTCATGGAGCCAGTCACATAGGCCAGCATCTTATCATAGGCAGGGATGTTTTCTTTAACCACAGGAAGTTCGACGAAATTCTTAGCCCAGGCGTGCAACCGAGGCAGAGTGCTCGGTTCCAACACTTCCACACCTTTTGCTTCTTCCAAGGCTGCAAACCAATAACCCAACAATCCATATGAGATGTCTACGAGATTTATACTCTCACCACCAAAAAACTTCTTATCTCCAAGACCTTGCTCCTCCAAGATTTTCAGCCACTCCGCCATTTCTTTCGCTGCCTTCTCGAGCTCTTCTCCGCTACCGTGGTAAAATGCT